CAAACTGAGTCTAATTAACATGATATGAACATATTACCACATAATTGCTGAAAAACATGAAAATTCACATGAAGCTGAACTAAGGCCGCGGCGGCACGTCGTGCACCGCCGACGGCATTGTGCCGTTTTAACGACCGAACATCATAATCTCTCGGCAATTCACTGATAACTGAACTTAAACATGCTTTAATGAACTAGATAACACATAATGGTCGGAAAACTTGAACATAACATGCAATAGTACTCGGGTGGCCCGTGGTGCGCACTAGGTGTGCGACCACACCCCTCTCGGCCAAACTCCCGATAACATGGCTAATCATCCGAACACTTAAGTAAATTTAAACATGATATAGCATATAAAAGCTAAGCATGCAATAATGGTCGGGGAAAAATAACTTAACATATACGAGCAAGTATGCACGGCCCGTGGTGCGCTACGTGCGCAACCACTTATCCTCGGCCAATTCTTTTCAAACATGACATATCATCCGAACATTAAAGCTAATTTAAACATGATATTGCACCTAAAAATTAAGCATGCAAGATTGCTCGGGGATTTCTATGAAAATCATAACATGGATCGGATTATTTACTTAACATGTATCATGAATGTACGGCGATGGCTATAACACGCATGCAAGTAAATTCTAACATCTAATCTCAAATAAACATGATATTCTCGGGAACTTACCTCTTGTTAAGCCTTCGGAGACTAACTCTCGAACTCTCGGCCGTGAAGAACTCCGCGTGCGTGTGTTGGCGTGCGAAAGCTTGCGGACGCTCGGTAGCTCGGTGCGATGGCTCGCGGGCCTACGGTACGTGCGGACTGCTGCTCGCGTACGGTGGATGCGCTATGGCCCTCGGCGTGCGCGGACGGACTCTCGGCAATGCTCGCGCACACACCCGAAAAAAAATACACAACTCACACTATGCTCACTACCCTCGGCACTTAGAGAAGAAAAGGAAGCATAATCTCCCAAGCTTCACTTAAATAAACCGAATGCATGGAGGGTGAGGGAAAGATTCGGTCAAGGCTCATGACACATGGCGAACATGCCTACTCTCTCTTGCCACAACACTCACGGGAAAATGCAAGACATGGAGTGGAATGCCCGGCCAAGCTCCACTTATGCACACGGCAATTTCAAGGCAAAATGCACCAACACACGTGCACAAGATACAAATGAGGGGCACGGATTCTCACGGAAATTGGATTATATGGAAGAGGAATCTTGGACCAACTCTAACATCCATGCCACCACAAGCTACACTTTAAAACGCACGGCACTATGCACAATGCCTCGGACATTCCGCCCATAACATACGGACAAGGGGATGGCGCACGGATTCCATGACTTGTGTGGGGCGGAGCTTACGAACAAGTGCACTCACATGCACGGCATCACACTAGCATGAACACACACGCACACGGCACTTGCATGAACATGAACCAAGCATTAACACACGGCTATGAACGTGAACTCGGAATAAAATCCGAACAATTAGCTAATCTCGTGATTAATGCAAATTAATCACTTAATTATGTTTAATTATCCAATTAAACATAATGCTAAATTACCAAAATTATTTCGAACGTAAACGGTACGTCGAAAATAGTTCCGGTAATTTCTGACTGAAATAACTGAAAATAATTGATTCCAAAAAATAATATCGGAACTGAAATATTATTATACTGAGAAGAGTTGGGATATTACAACTGCCGCACCGATCGTCCGTTACCCCGTTCGTTAGTCAGCTTCGCTTGTCCCGTGCGCACTACGCTCCAGCACGCACACTTCTGCCGTCGCCCGAGCCCGCCTCTTGCGTGCATGGTAAGCTCGACTTGCAGCGTTCTTGAGCTGCCTAGCCACTTCCGCATCATTCCCGTCCCCTTCAAGTGATTCCTTGTCCTCAAGGATGAAGTTCGGGAACTGGTCGCGCATTTCTTCAAGGTCCTCCCATGTGGCTTCTTCGGACGGCAGCTCTTCCCAGTCAACAAGTACTTCCCAGCGATAGCGTCCCGCTCTTTTTACCTTGCGGTACTCAATGGCTTGCCTGGGGCGTATGATAGCCCTGCCATCGGTTGCGGTAGTTGGCAACTCCTCACAGTACTTCTGCGCTTCTCCTAAACTCCTCTTGAGTTGCGAGACATGGATAACTGGGTGGATTCATGAGCTTTCTGGTCACTCAAGGCGGTAAGCTACCTGACCAATGCGCTTTAAAATCTGATAAGGCCCATAATAGCGGACTCCCAGTTTAGTTGCGGCCCTTTGCGCTGTGGTACGCTGTCTAAATGGTCGTAGCTTCAAGTAGACATACTCGCCTGGTACAAAATTTTCCTCACGCCTTTTCCCATCTGCGAAGGCTTTGGCTCGGTTAATTGAGCCTTCGAGATTTCTCTTTAGCTCACGTAACATCAAATCTCGTTCCTCTAGTTCTCCACCAACCTCATCGTTGACTGTACTCCCCTCTGAATAATTGATCAGTGTTGGGGGTTTTCGCCCGTACACCAACTCAAATGGCGTCGTCTTGGTCGATTCGTGGTAAGTGGTGTTGTACCAATACTCAGCCCATGGTAAAAAGTTTTCCCACCGCTTGGGAAATTGATGGACGTAGCACCTCAAATACTGTTCAAGGGTTCGGTTGGTGACCTCAGTTTGTCCGTCTGTCTGTGGGTGGTAGGCTGAGCTCATAGATAATTTAGTCCCTTGCAACTTGAAGAATTCAGACCAAAAGCTGCTCATAAAAATCCGGTCTCGATCAGAGACGATGGATCGAGGTTCTCCATGTAGTTTCATCACGTACTCCACGAATAACCTGGCAATCGACTTCGCGGTGTAAGGATGGGTAATGGGTATGAAGTGAGCATACTTCGTGAGACGATCCACCACAACCATAACTCCGTCAAATCCATTAGAATTCGGTAGCCCCTCGATGAAATCCATGGTGATGTCTTCCCAGATTGCCTCGGGCACTGGTAGTGGTTGCAAGAGCCCACTTGGTCGTCATGAGTCAGACTTAGTATGCTGGCAATCATCGCATCGGGCTATGTAGTCTCGGACGGTACTCTGCTGCCCGGGCCAGAAGAAGGTGTTGGCTATTCTCATCCATGTGCGATAGATACCCGAGTGGCCTCCAACCTTAGAGTTGTGGAAGTGTTGCATAAGTTTTTCGCGTAACTGCCCGCTGTCGGGGACATAGACTCGACCTCGATGTAGAAGTAGACCGTTATGTAACTCGTAGTCGATGGCAGTTGTCTTTCCTGCTTCTATCGATTGGCGCAGTTCCTGACAATGGGTATCCTCTACTTGCGCCTTCCTGATTTCTTCCCAAATGGCCCAAGTAGGCCCAGTGATCGCACTCAACTCGGCCACGTCTGTTCGTCGGGATAGTGCGTCGGCCACTGCGTTCTGTCGACCTGGTCGATAGACTATCTCGAAGTCAAACCCCATAAGTTTAGACACGAACTTCTGCTGCTCGGGGGTAACAATCCTTTGTTCCAATAAGTGCTTGAGCGGTTGTTGGTCGGTAACAATTTGAAAACGTCATCCTAACAGATAAGGCCTCAATCATCGTACAGCCTCAACAACTGCTAGCATCTCTTTCACGTACACTGACAGACCCAATCGAGTAGTGCCCAGTGCCTTACTGAGATAGGCTAGGGGTCGCCCCTCTTGCACT